GAATTAGCAACAGCAGCAGCGCGGTGGCAACAGGGGTGGCAGCAGCGGCAGCAAAAGCAGCAGACAATCACTTAGACGAGGAGGATGTTACATCTACCTTGATGGACACATTGCAGCCAGACATCTATGCATTTCTGGAATGAAATTGCTCCAGCATAAACAAACAAATACTCTCTCGCTCTCTCTCTCTCTCTCTCTCTCTCTCTCTCTCTCTCTCTCTCTCTCTCTCTCTCTCTCTCTCTCTCTCTCTCTCTCTCTCTCTCTCTCTCTCTCCCTCCCTCCCTCCCTCCCTCCCTCCCTCTCTCCCTCTCTCCCTCTCTCCCTCTCTCCCTCTCTCTCTCCCTCTCTCTCTCTCTCTCTCTCTCTCTCTCTCTCTCTCTCTATCTCTCTCTCTCTCTCTCTCTCTCTCTCTCTCTCTCTCTCTCTCTCTCTCTCTCTCTCTCTCTCTCTCTCTCTCTCTCTCTCTCTCTCTCTCTCTCTCTCTCTCTCTCTCTACCATTTTTACAACCGTTCAGATAATAGACCTATATTTAAGACTTCCAAAGGCATGAACCTGTTTTCAAAGTACTTTCCCAAAGACGCTAGAACAACAACGACGATCTCGTCAGCAGGAAGGGCTAGAAGCCGTCATGACAAGCCACTGTTGCGAGGAGCACGGCGTACGTACCATCATCATGGCGTCCTCAACGCCTTCTACCATACTGGTCAATGCTCCTGACGAGCTGGACGCACTCTCCATCTCGGCAGATAGGCGCTGAATGGAGGAGCGCGTGGCGTTGGCGGCCGACGCCAGTGATGCGTGTGTCTGCGTGGCCTGAACAACAAGCAGTGACAAGCACATAGACGTAGAACGTGATGAACGTAACTAGTATTACTAAAACTAAAGACTAGTAGACTAAGCTTGGGGAAGTCCCTCACACATACTAACCAGTGCATACCCAAATAAGGCAAGATACCAGTAATAAAAATGAACTAAAAAGTAAATCTTCTGAAAGACTAGGAGACAAAGCTAGGGAAAGTCCCTCACATACAAACCAACACAGGTGCAAAAGATGAAACTACTTTCAAGATCATTACCTCGGGGTTGCCACCAGCTTCCTTGGCGCTGTTGACCAGCTGCAGCATGGACTCCATCAGGGACTTGCAGCACTTCAGCACCGTCACCTGGGAGTTGTGATCGACGATGTTGCTGGCGGCGCCCACGATGTCGGACGACAGCTTGGCGAATGGCTGACTGGCCACGGTAACCTGCAGACATACACAAACCAGCCATGGCAATCAGGCGTGTAGCTCGTGTGTAGTCAGCATAGTCTGGCCATCACACCAGAAAATAGCCGTCACAGGTACTATCACAGGTACTTATTATTATCATTATCAGCCTTTTCGAGTTGACATCGCCAAGCAAGCTTGGCTAGTCTTCGCTTCGGCCAAATGGAATGAAGAATGAGGAACGAGCGGGGCTATAGGTACTGCATAGTCAAAATAGGAAAAATGGCGGCTATGAGGTTGCCTGTGGTACATGGTCACCACACCGCGGACATGCTCTGACAGTTGACTGGCACCTTCTCACCACACTACAGATGATCGAGCTACGCCCCTGGCAATGTTGTGATAAAGTGTTTCAGGGATGTCGGAGAGGGTGGCGGGCCAGGGAGGCACGCAGGAATAGTGCTGCGCAGAGAGTGGTACAAGCCAATCCACATCGGATCATGGTGTGTATCATTGCCCAACAGCACGCCCTCGCCACACATCAAGCACCTCGCCTTGTACTCTATCAGCAAGTAATTTTGCCACACACACGCACACACACACACACGCACACACATGCACGCACGCACGAACACACACATCACCGCCACCCCCCCCCCCCCCCCCACACACACACACATTATAATGCATAATAGTGAGCGAGCCAACAAAACATGAAAACTGGCCAGAACTTACCCGCTGTGCTAGGTCTATTGGGTTAGTTTTGGCAGCTGCAACGAGAGGTTCAATTCTGTCGTGAACGTCGATAAGAGCTCCCATCGTCTGTTCATGGTACGCCTAAACATAATGGCAGATTGAACAAGTATTTATTCGTACACTTCTCCAAGCAATGTGCCAAGAGCAATCATATCCAATTGGAGACTGCTAGTTGTAGTCGGTTCCTAAGTGGCTAGCAAAATGCCACCACAGTAAGTAAAGTTCTCGCAGTTCTCACATCAAAAGATTATAGATATGTGCAACAAAAAAGCGTCTTGTCCAAAACGGAGACAGCACTATTGATCCACCACTAAACATTATCATCATTGTGACACGACAGTGCATTGCTGTTCCATTGTTTCCAAGTGTCCAGATGAACAGATCCATGCAAAACAACAAGCACCCTGCTGTGTACTAGTATAAGCATTCCCCACACAATTTGTTGATGCAATCTTCCTTCGGTCCGTCAATCTGCTGGTGTCTGCAAGCGTCGTGTGGTCTCGTCTGGTCACAAGAAAAGCCTACTACTACTACTCGCCACACAGTTCCGGCAGACCAGGATTTGACAGCTACGCGGCAGTAGGTTCAAACTTACTTCTAGCGTTGACGTCTTGATTGGCTTGAGGGTGTGACTAACGGCACCAACCAGCGCCTGATCGACGTGGAGCATCTCCTTGCGGAGCTGCTGTGCCGCTTCCTCGCACTCGCGTTGGCCAGGGGCATTGTCACTGAATACACACAAGTACGCGCACACACGCACACGCACACACACACGCAAAACGGACACCGTCACAGAAGCAAAAGCATACACAAGAGGAGAAAAGATCCACTTGTGGAGTGCTGCTATTCCGAGCTATTTCTCTATTTTATCAGAGAACCGAAATCAGCCGGATTTAACATGCTTATTGCCAACAGTTACAATATACTGTATGGGTTAAGTACATTGAGACTTCCTGGTAGCGGAACTCCACTAAACTCCGGTAGCCATTTAGCCTTTTGAGCAAGCATGATGATACAACACTTTTGTGTGCACCGTTTCCTACTGCGTACACCCACCACAACGAAATATTACAC